TTCTTCCTCTTCTCAGTCCACCATCTCCCTCTCACCCTCTCGCCACCTGACTTCACTGCATCAGCAGACTACGAGAGAAAGAGAGAGCTTGGTGACATTTGGATCCAGACTCGACATTTTGGGCTTCGGACATTTTGACGAGGGATTATTTGGGACTTGTGACAAAGACTTGGTGTTGACGACATTCCCATCTCTCCCCCTCTTCTTCGTCTGTTCCCCTCCTCTTCGTCTGTGCATGATCAGGGTCTGGGGCCTTCTTCCTGTGTATAGCGCCAGGTCTTCACACCTTGTGATGAGAATGATGTATGTTTAGTCTGCGTTGCAACATTGATTGGGCTAGTCATTGATATTCTAGCATTCTGCTACGCTATCTTGCACTACGTGATAGAAGTCAGTCTCGGTCAGGTCAGGACTTGTATCTAAGTCTTCCCTGCGCTATAAAGCACCATTTTTGTATGTATCAGAATGTACACTGCTCGTTGAGATTTCACTTGCACTGCGTTGTCCATTCAGTCCTTTTTATCACATTGCGGATCCTTGGTTATTATGTACATCGCCCAACTGGGCATGTAACACTAAGGCAGCTTCTTCTCAACAAGCCAGAGTTCAATGCTTTCCATCAACTGACGAAATGGTTCCTTGCAGTAGGCATTTGATGTAGTCCTTGACGTCGGCCTTAACGTAGGCCTTGATTGAGTAGACATCGACATAGGCCTCAACAAGACGAACTCGACAAGGTAGGCTTTGACATAGGCTTTGACCAAATGGATGAGCTTAAAAATGCAGCCGTAGGCAAGGCTGAACACAGTGGCACCAGATTACATCTGTCACAGAAGTATGCATTCGAAAGACCTTTGGAAGTTCAGATCTGCCATAATTTGACAGCAGAGTAGGGTACTCAGAGAGTACATGGCACGGCAACTGATCAAACAGGAACCAAAAAAAAAGAAATTGTATGAGAAATTGTCACATATGTACCAACTAAAAGATCGCCATATACAAAACGAATGGAGGCCAGTAGGTGCCATAGGTCTAGGCAATACAAAAAGCCGGTAGGCCTATATGTCTGTGCAGTGAACCGGTAGTCAGGAACTGGTAGGCCCAGTTGTTAGGCTGCTGCCATCCCATCAGTCTGTCGCGGCTCAGTCCCAAAAAAGTTCATGAAAACTCCAAAACAGTTTAGAGCCAACCACGGCTGCAAGGAAAGGTATCAGCTCCACAGAAGTCCAAGATTGGGACCTGCAGCGAGTATAAAAAGTCCGGAGGCAGACAAACATCAACAAAGTTTGCATTTGTGCCTGTCACGGAAGCACTGCTGTGGACTTGTGTAGTCAGGCAACAGATGAGGCAGCAAGTAAATGCTAGTCGACGGCGCCTGGCGCCATAGCGACTAGAGAGAGAGTAAGAGAGAGAGAGGTGGAAGACATTCAGGGAGTGAGTGTGTGTGTGTGAGTGAGGGGGGGGGGAAGAGAGGAAGGGGGGAGAGAGAGAGAGAGAGAGAGAGAGAGAGAGAGGAGAGAGAGAGAGAGAGAGAGAGAGACCTGTTGGGAGTCTTGGCGGCTATAGCTACCCAAGTGTACATATGCGAGACTACTTGTATAAGACTTGAATTTTCAAGCAATTTCCAAAGTGCTCTCGTATCGTGTGTGGTGAAGTGAATTTGGTGATGTTGTGAAAGCAGTGTGAATGGTGGGATCATTGCAGTGGCATCACAGCAGTTCTCGCATTGTCTTCCGCCGCACACAATTGGAAAAGATGGGCAGGCAAAGTGAGTAAAGCAGCACACAAGGACTGAGTCCGTCAGGCGAGGAGAAAGGAGAATTGGCAGCATTGGGAAGAAGTTTAGGGTTGACCAGTAGGAAGAAAAGGTCAAAAGAGGGAAGGAGGTGCTCCCTTGCATGCATGGAGCGTTTAGAGCAAACAAGCTATTTGGAGAGAATTGCTTCTCACCCCTCCCCTTGCATGTTGAGTGCCATGCTCTGATGCTGGATGTTGCCGGTCTATCCTAGAGATGTGAGCTGCTGTTGTCACTTCTTGTTATTTCATTAGTTTCAAGTTTGTCGAGCAGATTGGATGCTGTAGGCTGACTCTGTGGAGCAACACTACCTAAGTTGGAGTAGCCGCACGGGGAGAGCAGCAGGCTCTTCTTAAACAACCTATCTAGCTCCCAGGACTGGTACTGGCCAGCGTGCGGTCTCAAGGTGGCAGAAGAGCGCTGACGAGTCCTAAGTCTTGAGAGCCAGGTTGTAAAGATGTAAGAGCAGGAATTTGACGATGGAGGAGGAGCATCCGGAAGTAGAGAAAGGTAAATAGGAAGATAAGAGGACAGAGGATGGGGGACAAAGTGGGAAGAAGACAATAAGGAAGAAGGGAAGAGAGGGGAAAGGGGGAAGAGATAACAGGAGGAAATAGTTGAACAAAGGCAGAAGCAATTAGGGAAAAAAAGAAGGGGATGCGGACGAAAAAAGAAACAGTGAGGAGAGAGATGGACAAGGCAGGAGAAACACGTGGATTAAACATAAGAGAGAACTATGGCATGCAAGAGGGGATGGGTAGGACACGGATTGCATACGAGCACAAGAGGTCAGAGGATTAGGACTTCAAAATTATGTTCTTACCTAGCCTTTGCAAGGCGCTCGAGGGTGCCATATTGAATGTCCGTTAAGGAGTACTCGGACTTGTCCATTTCATAGATTCCCATTGCAGCATCTCTCATGGTCTTTGGGGCAACCACACGAACACCTACAACACCCACACTTTCTGCACCCTGGACGTTCTCGATACTGGGATGGTCAGCTGGAATGGCATACATCACAACACTGAAGGTCCGGGATTTCAGGGCTGCAGCTTTTGTTCCACCCGAAGATTGTGATTTGAACACCCCATCTCCAAGCCCACCTGCTCCAATTCCATCTGTCCCTCCAGCCAAAGAGGCGCTGTCGGGTAGCTGCCCTCCTATTCTTGCTCCAAGGGCCGTTGGGGTCGACCCTGCAATCTTTGATGCGCATACAATTTGCAAATCGGGCACTTGACGTAGATGTGTCCATAGCATTTGCTTGAAGTGGTTGTCGAGGACGAGTTCTGCTTCTTGCACTGCACTTTGAATGTACCCCCATAGTGTCGTCAAGGGGCAACCTGCAACACAGTTAGAAATAGCCATCCAAAATAATCACGACGCTTAGCGCATGTTCACACCCGGTCAAGGAGGAGCTTTTCCTTGACTACATGGGTGACTTCTTCCAACTCACTGACCCACCTCAAAGTGACACTCATGTGCACTCAAGAGAGAGAGAGAGAGAGAGAGAGAGAGAGAGAGAGAGAGAGAGAGAGAGAGAGAGAGAGAGAGAGAGAGAGAGAGAGAGAGATGACCAGCTTTTCCAGGAAAGCAAACTAGGAATGCTCTCACCTACAAAATTCAATCTCCAGGTTCATCAACACATACAGGTATGTTAGCCTAACCCTACCATCTTCACCCGAATAGAATGTCCAGTCATTATAGCTGCATTTGCGCCAAGTTGCGGTCCAGATACAATGATGATGACCACACGTTCTATCCGGGTGAAGACGGTAGCGCCTAGACATTGGTAAGCATGTAGAGAGCACTGTAATGCTTTGCAACCCTTTATGCTGTCTTGGCAGCATTTTAGCTCTCGACAAATAGAGTGCAACTGGCATGACACGTTCATTGACGATTAGCAGCGAATGTGCACGAGTCCTGGAGAGAAGAGTCGATACAAATAGGGCTGGGTTCTCCGACCACTGAATCTGGTGTTCCGAAGAGTGTTAACCCATCTCAACATATTTGCACCGGTGTCAGCATCAGATAGGTAATTCCAACACCCTTAATTGAGAATCCAAAACTCAGTAGCTCCCCACATACACACAGAAAAATCAATGAAACTGGCTGAAACCTTTGTCCACCTGGGGACCAGATAGCCCAGAGAAAATTACAAAACACAGACAGAGAGCAAGTTGATTACTCTAGTAGTGACCACCAGATATGGCCACCTCCTCATCTCGCCTCTACTTGATGACAAGCGCAAGCAAGTTGATTACCCTGGCGGCGACAAACAGATATGGCTGCCTCCTCGTCTCACCTCGCCTCTACTTGACGACAAGCAAAAACGTTTCCCCCTCTTGATAGACTTCCCCAAAGCTACGGATGATGATTTCCATTTCGCGCGCAACCTTATTTTTTGGCAGTTTCTGCAGAGTGTTGTAGCTATATGCTCTAGACTGCACTTCCCCCACGTACAGGTAAGGGCCTGCAAATGTGAAAAGTTCGAAGAAAAAAAAACGATCTGGTGTAGAGAAAAACTGGCGGCACGGCCTAAGCAAATGCAAATGCAAATGCAGGCCTGGTTCAAAACTAGACACCTTCAACCACTGATAACACTAAATCTCTGGCCCTGAAGGTGCTGGGGTCAAATCCAAGCCGCCGCACTACAAGGAAAACTAGCTAGAACTGAGTCCTACTGGGATGAGGATCGCAAAGTGACGGCAACAAGTCCTCAGAGTTGTTTTCCTTTCCCCTCCTGATGAGGCTAAGATTCTGGCACTGGCCGAAACCGGTAGAGGGAAGCCAGACTTACCATCGTCCACATAGCACACGGTGGTTCGAACACCAGAGCCTGGCTATGGTGATTCTCTCGGCGCTTCTTTCTTCCTATCTCTAGAAGAGACCAAATCTTTGGTTATTCTTTCATTTTTTTCAAAGAGTTACGAATCGATTCCAAGTTACACATATGTTCGCACCGTGCTTGTGTGTTTTTTTGCATGTCACTGATTTCAGCCCTCGCCAACGTCGGCCTCGCCTTCCTCTCCAATCCAATCCAATCCAAGTCCTCAGACCTCAGGTCAAGGTCCTCAGAAATGAGAGCGCCAACCTTCACACCGTAGCAGGACAGCACCAACCTAACCTCAGAATGAGAGTTCCAACCTCCGGTCCAAGTCCTCAGGCTCCACCCAACAGTCCTCCCACCTCAGGTCGAAGTCCTCGGAACTGAAAACGGAATCAGAAATGAGAGTACCAACCTTCACAACGTACACCGTCGAAGCTTTGCAAATTCAGAAAATTTATATATCACGCATCTACGTATGAGAGGTCCCTCCTCTCATTTCCACAACTGCAGTGAGTCCCTCGCATACTCGAGGGTCCCTCACACGAGAGCCACACTCTATATTGTATCCCTGCACACCGATCTCTCTCTCGTGCGACGTATATAGAACAAGCTACATATAAGAGGTCCCTCATCTTATTTCCACATCTGCAGTACCTACCTCGCATACTCGAGGGGGCCCCGGACGAGAGACATCGTCTCCCTCGTTCACTCTATATTGGATCCCTGCGCATGGATCATGGGATCCCTGCGCGTGGATCTCTCCCGTGCGAGGTATCCTTGACTGCGCAAGGTACTGCAGGTGGAAGCAGGGAGACAGCCAATGGGAGGAAAGAGGCAGACCATCTTCTCTCTGTTCTCAGCCAATAACTAACTCGATTTTTGTGGGTGTCATCCTTGCGCAGGGGCCACAAGGACGGCTACAATCTTTACCTGTGTACCGTTCCAACTTCATTAGCAATGCAATGTACCTACCAAAACTGTCATAGATGAACTTATCATAAATGGCTGCGGCACACATCGGCTATCCGGTAAAAGCCCCCATTAAACCCCATATGGTAAAAGCCCCCATTTCTCTATCGGTGACTTACGTACATCCACTCGTCCCCGCTCATTAGCTCCACTCGCCATATACCTACCGTCTTCACCCGCGAATAGAGCGCCCCATCATTACCTCTGCATCAAGACTGAAAGTTGCCCCAAATACAGTTACAACAACTGTGCGTTATATTCAGGGGAAAAGACAATAGTCACCTACCTACGTATCCTCTTCCGATCAGATACACATATACTTACATCATCTCCAAAAAAAAATAACTTGAGAAGTCCATAAACAGAAACAGTTCTCTTTCCTTTTAAAGAAAGAAGAAGAACACATGCATACATCATCTCGAAAATAACTCGAGAGTGTCCATAAACAGGAGAAGTTCTCTTTCCTTTTTGAGAAAGAAGAAGACAGAAAAGAGAGAGAGAACACGTACAGACTTGTGAACAACGACCACCAGCACTGCATGGGATGCAGCCACTCCTCACAGTGATTGCACGCATATTCACACTACAAATTTTCCCACTGCGCGGTGGACGTAATTGCGGTCAGGTGCATCCAGGCCTCGTCGGAAAAGCGGTCATATACATGCAGGAAAGTCCCAGTGTGAGTATGCCCTGCGAGAACGTACGTGTCCCTATTCTCACCTCCTTTTTCGAATGATGCCGCAGCTCTCACCGCCTTTGCAGCCAACATCTCCTTTTTTTTTTTTTTTTTTTTTTTGGACAAATGCTCCAGTCTATTCGTGGGGAGCAGCACGTGCTGGGAACCGGGCCCAGCGTCCAACATCTCAAACAGCACTCTGCGAGGATTTCAAGCCCTCGGTATACCTGCATGTCGCCCCTACAGCAAGCATGAGCCCTCCCTAAGTGAAGCCGGGCCCCCGAATCTCAATGAGGCCTGAATATGTCAAAATCACCCAAACCCTTGGTGGGCGCCGCCACACAGTTGCCATGCGCCAGTTGGTTACGTCCACCCTGCTCATGAAATCCGGAAACATTCATGAGCCTTCCAGGCTCTTATGGCAACGCAGTGGAAGCAGGGAACACCTCACGTTTGTGCTTGGGTGGTTGGGCAGGCCTAACCAGTTCCGCCCCAGGCCTCTGCCTGAATGGGCCTGGGCACAGACACTTTGGCCCAACCTGAAGCTACTGGGCAGACACGAGGCCAGGCCAGGCCAGGCTGCCATTGGGCCAGGCACCACTTCACATATAGCAAAGTGCCTCGCCGTGAGTCGGGCATTCGGGCACTTGGTCGTGCATGCGGCAGTGCTGCTTGTGCGAATGCTCATGCGTGCCAGCTGAGCGCTGGGTGCGGGGGCGCGCGCACGCGGGCGCAGGAAGAAAGGGGGGGGGGGCAGGAAGAAGGTGGGTGCCACAGCGCCAGACCCCAGCCTCCACAGCCGCGGTTGGGGTCAAAGGGAAGGTCAGTGGGGTTTAGGCAGTGGTCCTTGGTTGGAGAAGCGTGTGGGGAAGACAACGGAGAGTGTGAGAGAGAGAGAGCGAGAGGGGGAAGTGATGTGAGAGCAACACTTACCTCGTCCTGGCGGAGGTGTGCATGGTCGACATCTGCACGTACTTGGGTTGCTGCTGCTGACGTCAACTGGTTGCTTTGCCTTTTTGTTAGACTAGCCCAGTAGCTGTATGATAGTACTCTGGGCACTGAGCGCCGACAGGAGGAAGATCTTCGAGTACATTGTTGGCGGCGGCGGGAGAGGGCTCTCGTTGACAATTGAATTCGCTGCGTTGGTTCTCCTTCAGTGTGAATTCAGTGCATTTCTGCCTTCTGGAAAGCTTACAACAACTATATGGCATTCAATGTGATTTTGCAATTTGGAATTCTGTCATTTCGCTATTGTTCATTTTCCTTGCAACTCTTTTTTTTTTTTTTTTTTTTTGGTCTTGTCTTGGCTTGGCCCCCTGCATTCTAGGAGTCCCCGGGCTTTGCGCCTCTCTGCACCACTCACCAAAAGTGCAAAATGAGATTGTATCTTCCCTTAGAACATGGAAAGAAAGATACATCGCCATAATTTCTTGTCTTTTCTGCATGTGGTGAGTGGTGGCGCGAGGCCCTTTTCCCCAGGGCATGCCGTGTTTTCCGACGTGCCCAAGTGGTGGCAGCCCGGAGGTCTTTACCCCGCAGCCACGGGCCCTGGTTCCACTTTCCCCGATGGGCCCTGGTTCCCATTTCACCCATGGCCCGGCGGTCTATCAAGCCCTGGCCTTCTCCCGGATGTGGCATCTCATCAGCAATCATCATCAAGCATCATCGATGACCATCTATTGTCCTCAATCATCATCATCATCATATCTCACGGCGAGGACCATCATCATCATACATCACGGCTAGCATCATCACCATCACCCGTAATCAATCATCATCAATCATCAGTCATCATCATCATCATCATCATCATCATCATCAGATATGACGGCTATCACCATCATCATCATCATCATCATCATCTTCTTCTTCTTCATCTTCATCACCCGTCATCAATAACTGTCTCTTATACACATCTAGATGTGTATAAGAGACAGCCACTTTCCCCGATGGGCCCTGGTTCCCATTTCACCCATGGCCCGGCGGTCTATCAAGCCCTGGCCTTCTCCCGGATGTGGCATCTCATCAGCAATCATCATCAAGCATCATCGATGACCATCTATTGTCCTCAATCATCATCATCATCATCATCATCATCATATCTCACGGCGAGGACCATCATCATCATACATCACGGCTAGCATCATCACCATCACCCGTAATCAATCATCATCAATCATCAGTCATCATCATCATCATCATCATCATCATCATCAGATATGACGGCTATCACCATCATCATCATCATCATCATCATCTTCTTCTTCTTCATCTTCATCACCCGTCATCAATCATCATCATCATCATCATCACGGCTGGTACCATATCATCATCATCATCATCATCACGGCTGGTACCATATCATCATCATCATCATCACATCACAATCGTCAGTCGTCATCATAATCACCCGTCATCACCATCAGCTATCTATCATCATCATCATCACATCACGGCTAGCACCATCATCATCACCCGTCATCACCATCAGCTATCTATTATCATCATCATCACGGCTGGTACCATATCATCATCATCATAATCATCAATCGTCAGTCATCATCATCATCACGGCTGGTACCATATCATCATCACCATAATCATCATCAATCGTCAGTCATCATCATCATCATATATCACGGCTAGCACCATCATCATCACCCGTCATCACCATCATCTATCATCACTCATCATCATAATCACCATCATCGTCAATCGTCAGTCATCATCATCAACATCACCAGCTCTCGCATAACTGTCATCATCGACCTTACTGAGTGAGTATGTACCGCACCCACGTGTCCCATTGCGCACACGTCCTGTTACGTACGTCCTCCTCTCTCTCCCTCCCTCCCTCCCTCCCTCACTGCACTGAGAGGGGGGGAGGCGAAGTAATAGATTAGGAATATTTTT